AGTTTGGATCTCCATCCATCGTATCTTCTAGTTTGGATCTCCATCCATCATATCTTCAAATTTGACTCCTTTCATCTTCAAATCCCTTCAAAATAACAAATAAATATTATTTAATTCATAAATCAATTAGTTCATGTATTTTATATCAAAACCCTAGTTTTTAACTTGTTTAATTTGATAACTCATATTATTTTAGTCTATAAAACAAGATAAATTAAAGGTTTATCAAATACCTAACATTTTAGCCAAACTAGTTGCAAGGTACTACAACACCGCTTGACTGCAATATTAAAAAACAAACGTAATTGTTGTCGTTATTAATTGTTTTACTATGAACATAATGAATTTGGTATGCGGGAAATTACTAATAATTTTAAATTGTCTGCATATTTCTTAATTATATTATTCTTCCTAAATGTTTTCATACTTGAATATCTTTCTACTTAGGGTTCTCATGACCAAAACAAAATGATTTTACCGAAAAAAAATTAACCCAAAAAGATTGAAAATCGAATAAAGTCGACAATTTTTTATTTTTTTTTTTTTGTATTCTTTTGTAAAAACTCATCAACGCAGTTTCGATTTCAGTTTTCATTTGTGATCCAAATCAAAAAAACCGAACTTGTATAGTTAATTATTTATTTTCTATGGTTTTCGTATTTATAGATAATTAAAGTCTAGGCTTATTATTGTTTTATGAAGCTTTTTTTTTCTAACATTTTTATGCACCTTTTTAGGCTAACTTGTTTATATAATTATATCAATTGCTTATGTTTTTTTAGAGAAATATATAAATCATTGATGGGTCTTCATTTAAAAAGCTTAAACTTTTAGGTTGAATTAGTTTTTTACATGATATCTAAGGTCTAACGAGAGGAATCATGATCCGCTTTTTTCGGATACTGTTTCCTTGTCAGTTTCCGGAGATCTCTTTTATTCTTGGATCATCTATGCGTCATTGCTGAACCATTTTTCTTCGCGAACCACCATCGAAAAACCTTGATCGTTGCTCCTCTACCGTTGACTACCACCGTTCGATAGCTTTTTCTGGCAAGCCACCTACCGCTGTGCTCATCTCGACCGTGCGGTGCCGTCTGTCCATGTCTCGTCCCCAGAACGTGTCTCACGCGCCCTAACATGCATGTCAAATTTTTGCGCGTTATCTTCTGTTTGTCGACGCTTGGCAACTCCTTTCCGGCGGCGACCGGTTGGGATTTTCTCCCCACTCTGAGATGGATCTGGATCAGGTCCTGTTTTGATGTTTCGACATCGTTTTTTGGTGACCCACCGATCACACTCCTTCCTGTTAGTTTTGTGATTTGACGTCTATGATTTTATTTTGGTCTCCCTTTTTTTTTGGTGATTGTGGATTCATTCAATGTTTCTTTTCTTGTTATTTTACATGGTATCCGAGTCTCGGTGTCACGGGTTCGATCCTCACCACCCCCTACTTTCTCTTGTGAAATTTCTTAGCACGGGTATGTGGGCCTGTGGATTATTCACCCTTCATGTCCAATGGACTCTCGTGTGAGAGGGCGTGTTAGAGAAGTATATAAATCATTGATGGGTCTTCATTTAAAAAGTTTAAGTTTTTGGGTTGAATTGATCTTTTATATTTTTATTCAAAATTTTGAGCAAATTTATTCTTAATTGGGTCATACAAAGGAAAAAATGCAGTCAAATTTGAGTTTATTCAAGAAATAAGAATTTGATCAAAAACCAATTAGACCAAACCGAATTAAATGGATTTGATTTTTCTATTTTCCAATTAGAAGCATAAAATGGGTATATGAAAAAAATATTTTTACAACCACTTTAGATAAGGTTATCTACAATTATTATTTATAATTGTATACTACCGGTAGTACAGAGTTATAACATTTAAGTTGCTTTTTTTATTCTCTCTTCACATCAGCAGACATGTTCTGCAAAGTGATTGAAGAGAGAAAAAAATAATTTTAATATTATAACCATGTACTAAGAATAGCTATGCATATAATGTTTGTGTTCTAGATTCTACCTGAGTGAGCAGTCTACTACTAGCTCGATGTCCTTGGTCTTGGGTGGTCAAGGGTGCAAAAAACACTCCACAACCTATGTTAGTTGCAATTCCAGTACGTAGAGTAAGAATAAGGCTAAATGGAACAACATACGTTAGCCATTAGAGATCATGTCTATTTACAGGGGAATGAGTGCGCTTTATGCCCATTGGCCATTACGCATTTATGATTTATGATGTCTGACTCAGTCAATCGGGTAAGCGAGAACTTAAGCACCTTAATAACTTAGGTGAGTGAAGTAGAGGATGCTTTTTTTTTTTTGGATACAATGAAGTAGAGGATGCTTGCTCAACGCCTTGGTGCCTCACAACTAAAAAAGCCGAATAAGGGCTTTAAATTAACCTTGATTCTCTATTTTCAATGTTGCTGTTAAGGGCTGATAAATATATATCTTTTATTAGCACAAATCAATTTCATTTGAATGATTTATCCTTTAAAAAGCAAACCGAACTAATATAAAGAGCAAACACATTTGCTCTTCGACGAGTTTATTATAATACATTTTCTTTCCTTCCATATCTAATAATCCAATGGTGTTATTTTTATGTTTTTGCTTACACCATTTTTATATAATACTGAACAATTAAACTTTATATAATTTCTCATTTTAATTTAGAGAAAAATGTTTATCATTTTAAATGACACAACTTATGTCATTTCACTTTCACAAAGAGGTAGGACCCACACATTTATTCTTTTTTGTCAACTCTCTCTCTTCCTTTATCTATATCTTTCTCTCTCTTAAAATGACACAACTTTATATCCTTTAAAATGACACACATTTTTCCCTTTAATTTAATACTTTTTGTAATTAACTAACATTTAAAAGCTGTTGATCAAGATATTGTAGATCAACGGATACTTCAGTAGATAAAAAAGACACAAAAGCCAATCAACTTGTAATTTAAGTGATACGATCCAAATCTTCAGAATTTGAGTACGACAATAATGTTAGAAGTTGGATGATTCACGTGCCTTTCAGTAAAAGTTTGTACCTATAATGTAGAAAAATTTTAAAAAAATAAAGATGTGTAAAATATTCATAGAAAAAATTGATATTATTATATGAATGTAACTTCGATATATTATCATGTAAGTAAATAATTTTATAATATTATTGGATGATGTATTGTCACATTATTTAATAACTTTGACATCTTATATAATAATTAAATAATGCAAACACATCATTTAAAAATCCTTCATGACAGTTTAAAGTTGGTGCCAAATTAAAAGTTTGACTCGTGACATGAGATATTAGATCAATAATATCATATACTTACAAATTAAAATTGTTAGATTAATATAAAATCCACAACACTCAAATAAGATATCAGCTTGATATCGGTATCATATGATGCTATTATTTTGATAACATTCAAATTTTAAATTTTTTTACTAAGACTTTAATATATAATATTCTATTTACAAGTTCTTAGTTGTTACCGCTCCAGCAGCGCGCACGTGGGACTGAAATTATTACATTCCCACACCACACCTATGTACTCCATGCTCATGTAGTCTGCTGGAAAAGGAAAAGTCAAAATTTATTAAAATATTCAGAGAAACTAAAAAGATTCCACAAACTTTTCACTATCTCAGTTCTCAAACCCACCGGTCCCTCTTAAGTCTTATCCCATCCCAATAACGCGATCCGTTATTTTCCCTCCCTTTCTCTCTTTTCATAACGGAAATTCCCACCTTTCAACCCCCCAATCCCCAACTTTTACCTAAATTACTCCTTTGTCCCCATGATTTTTTATTCTCTTTAATACAATAAAAAAGAAGGGAAAAGTGTTTGTCATTTTAAATGACAAAAAGTTATGTCATTTTAAGAGAGATATAGACACAAAAAATTTGAATTTTAAATTAAAAAAAGCTACTCATTTTCTCTCTCTGATGATTTTCGTTTTTCTGTGTCCGTCTCTCTCCTAAAATGACATAACTTATGTCATTTAAAATGACAAACACAAAATCCAAAAAAGAATTAGTTACAGCAAATAAATTAGAAAGTAAATATTTATGAGGTGAAAAATGTTTGAGTTGCGATTTTGTCCCTTTTAAGATTGTATAATTAAAATACTCACACGAAAGGATACCATCGTTAACAAAATGAAACTATTGGCAATTCAATTATTCACATATATATACCCCCTTCAACTTATTAGTTTTAATTATATTATTTAAAAAAATTATCCTTAATTGAATAACATCTTTTTCAGTTAATTTAAATTAAAATTTAAAAAACCATAAGTTAGTCAAGTGTATAAAAAGTAGGTAGTAAAAAATAGTAATTGATAATTAAAAATGTAAATAATTTCATTAAGTTTCACACAAAATCAATGTTGCGTGTAGTCTAACCCAGATTGTATAACCAAATTATCAAACTCTATAAGAGCTATGGCACCAACGATAGAATAATCCCCAAACCATCAATTGTTTTCAATTTTTGAAATTCTATAAACAAACCTATGAGAATTTTCATTCAATTAATCCTCTTAATAAATTAAAAATTCAATTCTTAACGAGTGAAGATAGAAATATTATCTAGGCTGAATTTGGTGCTCTTATCTTGATTTATTAATAATATCATTTTGCAAACTAGAATTTAGAATATTAAAAATTTCTTATACAATGTAAAAATATTATACTACTATATTATATTAAACACATAAGTACATGATTATATATTAAATTTAAAAACTAAATCTTAATTACTTAAAGCTATTAATCATAAAATCAAAACAATGTAGGATACGTAGCAAGGGTGAAGTCGTAATTTCATCACGTGGAATTGTTTATATATAGCTTACCGCTACGGGGGTTCAGTCCAAACTCCCTCTTTGGTCGTTAATCAAAACAGTTCCTCCTTTTGCTTCTCTACGGTGCCAAATTCTTCTTCTTTCTTCATTTTGTTTGCAGTGTTTTTTTTTTTTTTTTTTTCTTTCTCTCTCAAATGGAAGACGAAGTCAACAGGGAACTCGATCTTCTACCATCATCACGAGCAGATTCCTCTCTGCTACAGATGCGATCGACGGTGTCGTCGTCGACGACGGAGCGCGGCGCGCCGTCGCTGGACCTGCAGCTATCGATCAGCGTGCGGCAGCCGGCGGTGTTGATGTGCGAGGGAGTGGAGGCGTTGAAGTGGCAGGCGGCGGAGCAAATCAGGCTGGCGGCGATGGAGAAGGCGTACGCGGAGAGGGTGAGGGAGCTGACGCGGAGGGAGATGGAGATGGCGCAGTCGGAGTTCGCACGTGCGAGGCAAATGTGGGAGCGTGCGAGGGAGGAGGTTGAGAGAGCTGAAAGGATGAAGGAAAGAGCAACGAGACAGGTGGATTCTACGTGCATGGAGATCACCTGTCACTCTTGCAGGCAAAGGTTCAGGCCTGCTTGATTGATCATCATGTGCTTTGTTTCTCACTCTTGGGTTCAAAATTTTATAGCTTTCTTTTGTTTTTGTTTTTTATTTTCTAACTTATAAGGAACCAACCCAACTCAGAATAATAACCCTGCCCTTCGCCTTTTTTAATTTAATAAATCACTACTACTGAAAATTAATTAACATGATTTATGTCTATGACAAATCGGTTACTCCAGTGAGTTAGTTAACTGCTATGTCATATTTGAATGTTTTTCATCTTTGGTTCACTCTATACATCTTGATTTAGAAAATATCTTTCCGGGAAGAATAGACAGTACAATTAATACATGCATAAGCGAATTATGTCTCATGAGAGAATCAAGAGTGAAGACCAAATCAAGTTAATTTCTTTAAAAAAAAAAATTTGCAACTTTTTTTTTTTTTTTAATTTTCATTTTTGGATTTAAATGGATAAATCGAAAGCCGGAAATGAAGAAGTTGGTAGTATTTACTAGTATCATACCTGACCTGTTGTGTAGTTTTAAAAAACTTGAGGATTGCAACCCAACCAATATACAATCATAAGTTCAGAACTTTAGCGGATAATTGAGTGCAGGAAAATATGTTGTCAACGAAAAGGTACAATCTTCAATCAAAATCATCAGATGACTGTTATTTTATCATATTCTGTATCCTTGCACAGTATACTAATATTGGGTATTGCCGTATTGGCCCTTTGTTCGTCTAAGTCAACATTAATATTAGCTTGGGTCTAATTAACGTTGTAATTGGCCAGTAATATACATAGTTGAAACTGATCGCGAACGAAGGAATCTCGATAGATGTGGTGAGGCCCAAGTTGAGGACTTCGATGACGATAGAACAAATGAATCCGAACAAAATAGCATATCATAGTATAACACCAATCACATAGACGAGATAAATGTATCCACATCTATTCAACTTCTTAATTTTATTTTATTTTTTAAGATATTTCAATCTTTTTAATTTAATATGGATCTAGAATTAAGACTTTAAACCTCTTCCAAACACGATACTAAAGTTCAAATATATGTCCTCAGCTTTTGCTCAGTTCTCAACTTGTTAATTTTTGTTCATCACAGATCAAACACCCACTATCCCTGTCCATTTTGGATCGGAATACTGACTCAAAGCATCCATCATATCAGTGAACAGTAGTTCTCATTTTCAAAGATGTTGCAGGTTTGCAATTAGCTTGATCTCTCAGCAACCTTTTTTTACACATTATTTCTTTATTGGGTAAAATGTGTCATTTTAAAGGATGTAAAGTTACGTCATTCTAAAAGAGAGAGAAAGAGATATAAGTTGACAAAAAAAATAAGTTGACAAAAAAAAACTTAATTTTAAAGGAGGAAAGAGAGTTGACAAAAAAAAATAAATGTGTGAATCTCACTTCTTTATGAAAATGAAAGGATATAAATTGTGTTATTTAAAATGATAAACATTTTTCCCTTCTTTATTAAATTCGGATTAGGACACGAATCGTTTATATGAGCAGAAAAAAATCATTAACTTTAGCAAAGATTTATAACGAGATTATATGTACCCTAATCGAATTAAGTTTTGTCTTTCTAAAGAGTTTGATACATTTAGAATTGATTTAAAATTGTACATGGAATCGAGCGTGCGAGTACATCAATCTTGGGCTTTTAAGTCTTTTTATACTTTAATGATATTTGCACAATTTTAACTTTTTTTATTCCAATTACATTTTGAGATTAATTGTCATTATATAAAAGGGTATCTAAAATTTATGAAAAATCATTGTTAAATATTATATTATTTTAATAATAAAAATTGTGAATAAAGTGTTTCTCTTTTCAATCTTAATTTTTGGTATACCTAAGCAAAAGGTCAATTAGGTAAATCAACCCATCTGTTAAGAAATCTTTTCTTTTCTTTTTTGGGTACATTGTTAAGCAATCTTTAAGAACATAACTCTCGGTACAGTTAAAAGTGTCAAGATTGTTATATTACTAAAAAAAAAAAAAAAAGTGTCAAGATTGCGACACAATAATACAGTAGTCACTTTGATTCTATTATGAACTGAAAAAAGTATCTAGGTAGTTGGGCAAATTATAGACTTTGGGAAAAGTACGTTTTAGAAACGTTAGGGAAGGCATGACGTCGCTATCCGGATTGGTTAAATTTATTCCAGTCTTTAATTTTATTTTATTGAGTAGTAATGTAAATATTATTATCCGGACTAGTGGTCTTTGCTACGGATTATTGTTCACTTGCTTCAAAATAAATTTACTGCATGGTGCCCTTTTAATAAACATCCATGTTATTTACACATTATTTTATATAATTTCTTTTTTTAATAATAAATAAAGCATACATTTTAACACATTTTTTTTTCAAATAAGAAAGTGCAAAGGATGAAGGTAGAAAATGGGGTACATGAAGTATTTTCCTTTCTAACAAATGGTACTTGTAGCTATAACATTTCGTTCGGCTTCTTTCTGGATGTTGGATTTAGCAAAGTGACTTATTTTCTGCTATGTATGGTACATAAATGAGCATTGTTTAATACCAGAGTTCTATATATCTCAGAATTAATCAGTGTTCTGTATATCTTTTGTTTGAGGCTTTCAACCTCAATTACTTTTTCTTGCAAAACAAAATCAGCAGAAAAGGAAGGGAGATAATTAAATATACGGTTCCTCAAACAAAATGCATGGGTAGTCCTGTCCACGAGGAAAACTTAAGTTATTTAAGTTTTTTATTTTTTTTATGGTTGGGGAACAAAAAATTCAATATCAACCACACAAAACCAATAATGCTTTGTGAATCCAGAAATTACCATGGTGATGAATCATTACTCCGACCTATGACCAGCTGAATCACAGTTACGTTGTCTTTTATATTTTATTTGGGTACAATCATAGAAATGCTAGAACAATCAATCAAAATCGTTCAGAAAGTCGAAAGCATGATAAAGATGTAGGACATATTTACCGATCCATCAAACTAGTCATCATGACAAAACCTTAACATTTGTCTTTTCAGGTTGTCCGCATATAATTGTCAATTGATACTGTTTCTTGCTTGGTTTGTAGAGAATCATATATATAATGCTTCCATGCATGAACCATATATATATATATATATATATATATATATATATATATGTGTGTGTATGTATATTATTTGTCTTTTTAAAGGATATAAATTTATGTCTTTCCATCCTCTTATAACTATATATTCCAGGGAATACATAGTTATAGGGTTCGCTTTTTTCTGCAGTAAGTCCAATACGACGTTATTTTGGATCGGAAATCATGGTGTTTTTATAATTTTAATTTATTTAAGGGTTATTATAGTCTTTATAATTATAATTTTCTAATCTTTCAATCCCAAAATCACATCGCTTTGAAAATAAATACAGATAACTTATCTGCATTAACTGCAGAAATATTTTTTTGATAGTTATAATATAAAAGTTATTTTTTTTCTCTCTTCAAAAATTTGTTGGCTGATGTGGAGAGAGAAAAAAAAAACTTTCATATTATTACTATATATGTACTCCTCGAAGTATATAATTATAAGGGTGAAATAACGTAAGTTTATATCCTTTAAAGGAAACACACTAAACTATATATATGGGGAAGGATATGTTCTAAACTTTTTTTTTTTACAAACTTACAAATTATATTATGTCTGACCGGTAATACTCTACTCAAGAGTGTATTACCGGTCAGACATAGTGTAGTTTGTAAACAAAAAATTTGTAAATATAATATTTCCCTATATATAGGGTTCATCCAATCTCATGTTACATGAGAGATGATATCTTATGTTATAGAGATACATGAGGTGGGACCCACTATCTAAAATAAAAGAAAAAAGAATATCACGATTTTCGATGGGTCTATAGGAGATAAACTACTCTTATGTTGCTAAGAGTAGTTTTTCCCATATATATATATGGCAATATTGTTTGTCATGTGACTGAATATAAGGTTTTGTCCAGTCACCCCCTTACAACTATATACTTCGAAAAATACATAATTATAATATTAAATTATTTTTTTTCTCTTTTCAAAAACTTGTCGGTTTACGTGAAAAGAAAAAAAAAATTAATATTATAACTATGTACTCTTGAAATACATGATTATAAGAGATTACTAGACAAAATCTTATATCAAGTAACTGGATATCCGATATATATATATATCCTTTTAATTATTTGTAATTAATGTCTTGGACAAGTAAATATTCATCGGCATTGCAGGGATATGCGGTGCACAGTAACGACACCCGTACTTAATGATTAGTAAATTTAAGACCACGGAGACAAGGTGTATATTTTGCCACGTAAGACATGTAAGTTCAATACGGTTAACAACATAATAACTTGCTTTCATTAGAACTATACCTTGATTACTAAAAAGTTGAAAATCTAGCTAGCTAGGTCATTTGTAGGTTGTAGTAATGAAATCTGCTACAATTCAAACATGTCAATTAATTACTGAGGAAAGATGAGGAACAAAAATAATGAATGTTCATCTTGTCATGAGAAGCTTCAGGTTCAGCAAAGATGATATGAAGTTTTCGCTGACATAAAGGAGGAAACATTTCCAAAAATGACGGAACTGTTTTCCATCTCTATCTAGGCAGCGAAGAAGAAATGGAAAATAGGGAATGGAATGATCAAGATTGTTCAATCAAATCACTTAACCAATCAGGCAAAAAAGGTAGATAGCTTTCGAAAGTAAGGGAAAGTTTCGGATCCTGTTAGACTAAAACTCTTGTAGAGTCACACCATGTGAGATTGTGGAGCACACTTCCATTATTGGACTTTGTAAGTATTTGCTCTGAGGATGCTTAGTTACGAAATCCAGGAGGAAAGAGATAAGCTGCAGCTCTAGTTACGGGAACATATATGTTGTCTTGTAGTGAGTCTTACATAGTACATAATATAAGCTTATTTATATGATACTTTTATCCTATATTCCTTTCAAAATACTATCCATAATATAGAAAGAATGAGAAAAGGCCAAATTGAAGATAAGAAACTGAACACCATCGATCTACACTTTGGTCCCTTAATCCTATTTCAACTAACCTAAAATTTATTACCATTTTTCTATTATGGGATATCAGGTGGATACCATATATGATCAGAGCTCG